CACTTACCATTAGATGGACTGTGTGTTCGTTTGTCAATCCTATAAAACAACCTAATGCTCTCCTCAGGGGTGACAATGCATTTGCATTTCAATCCTTAGTTGAAGATAAATGTGCAAAGCATTCACCTACCATCAGGTGGACTGTGTGATCATTTGTCGATCCTATATAAACAACCTAATGCTCTCCTCAGGGGTGACAATGCATTTGCATTTCAATCCTTAGTTGAAGATAAATGTGCACAGCATTAACCTACCATCAGGTGGACTGTGTGCTCATTTATCAATCCTATATAAATAACCTAATGCTCTCCTCAGGGGTGACAAAGCATTTGCATTTCGATTCTTAGTTGAAGATAAATGTGGATGTCTATGGGCCACAGCACTTACCATTAAGTGGACTGTGTGCTCGTTTGTCAATTCTATAAAAACAACCCAATGGTATTAAAAAGTACCATAATTGCTTGGCAGATGCGTTGGCAACCAAAGAATGAATAAAGTGATATTATCATATGCTATACCTCTTATTTGAACGCATTTAGGTTTTTCTATCAAATAAATGACTTACTGTTTGTTTTAATAAAAAAATCTTATCGGTCAAATGCCTATCCTTGTCTTTTAAGTCTTCAACGTTATCGGTCGAATACATTTAGTATCATTTCCAGTTATAGCTTAATTATTCTTATTCTTATTTTAGCTTCATTTTATCGCTAACACATCAAAGTGCACCGTTAAATATCACAGAATATTTTCTATTCTTACATAAATTAGTAATTGATTCAAAGGCAAACCTGTCACCCTATTGCATTTTAGTTAATCTTTTTTTTTGCCGCTCACAAAATGTGAAAAAAATTCTATATGTTAAAACAAAAATCTGAAAATTCGGGTTCAAAATCATGTAACAAGGCTCTTCAGGAATATTTCGTTTTGTTGTTTTAATATCGATCAATAGCCAAGTAATATTATTATATAAGTAGCCAAGTAATATTAATCTATACTTAAGATTTATAATAACGCGGCTTACGACATAACTCTAGTATTAAAATAGACTAACAAACCGACTGCTTTTAGTCAAACTCGATCAGAACCGAAATATTTCAAATATATTGTAGATGGTTCGACTCATTTTCAACCCAGGATCCACCTGGGTAGATACCTCTTACTTATTGCTGCCGATAAAAAGCAGTACGTAAACAGTTGTATTGTGTCCTAAAGAGTATAGAGATCCTCCATCGTCATCTTCAGATAAACGTCAACACTGCATCTGTGGCCTTATTTAATGGAAGTCGGTTATAGGAGTTCATAGACTACAGTAGTCACTCACCAAGAGGTGGTCTGTAAGGTCGTATTTCACTATAGATTAATAAAAAAAGCCGCATTATATATCGCAATACTGTGATAGTAAATAAAGAAAAAAAATGTGGGAAGAGCGACCTCTGAGAAATTAAAAATATTTCGAGGATACATGAATACGTATTGGCGCTTTAAAACACTGTCATAAACAAAATATCCATAAGGGTTAAGTCTCTTTATATTTTGTTACTTTACTTTTGTTCTTCTTCATCATGTTTAATGTTCACGCTTTTGTGTTCATATTAATTACCACTTATAATTTATCTTATCATAACTATCAGTTTAGAATTATAGGGTTCCGTTTCGCAATTTGTACACGTAAGAAACTGCATTTTCTAGAAAGTTTTATGTAATAATAACTGTCGCCACACTTCAAAAGTGGACTCCTGGAGATATGTTAGTTTCTGTTTTTCTTCACTTCACTTTCATTTTAGTAAAACAATAAATAAATCAATAACATCTCAACTAAAAGAAAATTCTTTTCAAAATTTGAATTACCCGATTAATACTCATTTCTCTCGACCTTATCCTAAATTTCATTTAAAAAAAGTAATTGAATCAAAAGTAATAGACGGCGACTTAAAAAATGCTTCCCGTATTTAATTCTCAGGTGACATCCTCGCTTCTCGTAATGTCGAAACTTTTGAAGGCCTTCGTCAGAAACATCCTTCGGTCAATCCTTCCCAGAATTTACCGCTGCCTCCCAATACTTCTATGCAACCATTACAAGTTTCCGAAAAAGACACTTTAGACGCAATATTGTCATTTTCGAATGGCTCTGCCGGCGGTTTTGACGGGATTACGCCTCAGAATCTCAAAGACCTTGTAAGCGTATCTGCCGGTGACGCCGGTAGGGTACTTCTTAATGACATAACAAAATTATGTAATTTTATGCTTTCTGGTAATGTCAATCCCAATTTCATTCCCTACTTATATGGGGTAAGATTGTGTGCTTTCAAAAAAAAGGATAACGGTATCCGTCCTATTGGTTCTACATTTCGACGCTTAACTCCAAAATTAGCTTGCAGGCACATAATCTCAAACCTTAAGACAAATTTCAACCTACTCAACTAGGCTTTGGCACCAAAGGTGGCTGTGAGGCGGCGGTACATTCGGTGCGTACTTTCTTAACTAATTCCAATGCAGATGTTCTTCTGAAGGTTGATCTTAGAAATGCTTTTAACTCTATTGATAGGATAACCCTGCTGAAAGAAGTGGCTAACAATACCCCCGAAATATATCATTACGTTTGGCAATGTTACAGTCAAAATTCAAACTTGTTTTATCAAAACCATACTATTGAGTCTGCTGTCGGTGTTCAGCAGGGTGATCCATTAGGTCCAGTTCTTTTCAGTTTGGGAATTCAACCTATTATTTCAAATTTAAAATCCAAGCTGAATGTCTGGTATCTGGACGACGGTACACTGGGAGGTAAAGCAGATGACGTCCTCGATGATCTTACTCATATTTTCAAAATTTTAAAAATATTGGTCTTGAACCAAATACAAATAAATGTGAAATATTTATTTCTAATAATTTATCTAATTCTAAGAGATACCTATCAAATTTGGTGGAATTGGTGTAAGAAATATTTCGAGCGTCGCATTGCCTGCTTTTCTTGCTTCCGTGCATAGTGTCAATGACCTATGTAACACAATTTTAAATAATAAAGTAGACCTGTGCTTTGCTGCGGAGGCAAAGCAAACATGGATAACGCTCTGTCCCGGCGAAAATGTCCCACTGGAAGTTAACCAACAAAAACAGTGGGATATTCCTTCGGTACGGAGTGTCCAGAAAAAATTATTTCAAAATTTCCATATTCAACAAGATCAGGCTCGCCTTCTAGCTGTTTCGACTAAGGAATCTAGCCACAGGTTACATGCTCTACCATCAAGTAATCTCGGCACATTGCTTAATGGGGAAAGCTTGCGCATCGCCGTAGGAATCCGGCTAGGAGTGGCTATTTGTCAACCTCACCAGTGCCCCTGTGGTAGCAGCGTCGATGAGTTTGGGCTCCACGGACTTTCATGCAAGAAAAGTGCAGGTAGGTTTTCCCGTCACGGTTCTCTGAACGAAATCATCCGAAGGGCTCTTGTCTCTATAAATATCCCCTCGGTTTTAGAGCCTTGCGGGATATTTAGTGACGATGGCAAGAGACCCGAAGGTATGACTTTGGTCCCTTGAGAGAGAGGTAAAGCCCTAGTGTGGGATGCTACTTGCGTTGACACTTTGGCGGCCTCTCATCTCAAGGGTACCTCTTTTGGAGCCGTGGCGGCATCAGAGGCAGCCGAATTTAGTAAATGGCGCAAATATGAGTCTTTGAGAAATGACTACATATTTGTGCCATTTGCTGTAGAGACTATCGGTCCGTGGGGTCCACGTGCAATGAAGTTTCTAAAGGAACTGTATCCACGACTGGTCATCGCTGCTGGTGATAAGAGGGCTGGTTCTTTCCTCGCTCAAAGGCTAAGTATAGCTATTCAGCGAGGGAACGCAGTCAGCGTTCTTGGCACTATACCACGGGGAGCAGGTCTTTTTGACAATTTAAATTTTTAGTTTTAGATTTTCTATATTATAGTTTCTTCTTTAATATTGTATATAATTAGTTTTAATCGTAAATATTTTAATTTTAATTATTATTTTAGTTAAGTTCTTTATTATAATTTTTGTAACATAAATTGAACGTTATTTAAAATATATATAGTGAACTGGTTGTTTAAGATGATCTCGTTATACATACCGTAAAGTGAAGTTCACATTTATAGAATATTTGAATATAATTTATAATGGTTATAATATTTTAAGGATATATTAAGTGTAAAAAAGTAAACATGTAAGGGCGGGGAACGCGCAAGTGCTGAGCGTCTGAGGAGTGAGCAAAACGTTACGCTGACCGCTTCACCAACTTCATTTTGTATACGATTGTAAGTAGAATTTTTTTTGTTTGTAACAGAAATGAGATAAAAAACGACGGAACCTGAATTATTTGTCACTATATATTATAAATATTGTCGTATATTTTATCTTTATCGTTAATACTGTCATACGCAGTTTTCCTTTAGAAGGATGAACATTAAAGCACCAGTGGCAAGTGTTGGGAGTGGATGTTTTTAATTCATCGTTTTTATTTGTCATTATGTCGGATCAATTATATGCAGTGGAATATGCAAGTAGAGATTCAACTTGCAAAGAATGTAAAAAAAAAAATATACAAAAGAGGGGTTCGTTTTGGAATCATGTTGGAATCACCATTTTGTGACAAAAAAATACCTTATTGGCATCACGAGGAATGTTTTTTCAAGAAAATATTATTTTCTTCTGCTATTCTCGATAACGTTAGTAAAATCTCAAAATTTAACCTACTTTTCTATGAAGATCAAGAGAGAATAAAAATAAAAATCGAAAATTTGATGTTGTCACTCTTTAAAGGAAACAAAAATCCAAAAAGAACTTCAGAGGATGTTTTTATGCAAATGATTTCTACGTTCTTGATAGAATATGCGAAATCAAGTAGTGCAACGTGTCGGTTATGTAATATTAAAATTATTAAAAGTGAAATCACAATCTCTAAGTGTTTTTACGATGCAAGATACGGAGATAGTCCAAAGTATTATCACGTTCAGTGTTTTAAAGAAGTACGAGAGGAACTAATGTTTTTCGCTGGGGGAGAAGATATACCAGGCTTTAAAAATCTTAAAGAATATGATCGAAAAATGATAAAAAACGCAATAAAGAACGCGGCACCTGTCGTCAAAAAACTAAGAATGAACTCAAATGATGAGTCTGAAAAGAAAAAAAATGATGAATTATCAAATAAAGTAGCCGAACAAAGTAAACTTTTTGATCACTATAGAAAGGAATTAAATTCTTTAAAGAATGAGGAACTTTATAAATTATTTGTAGAAAATGGTCAGGATATACCTTCAAAACGCAAAGATCGTATAGATCGCCTAGCTGATTATATGGCTTTTGGAGTACCAAAGAAATGTCTTCAATGTAAACATGGCCAAATAATCCTCGATGATTTTTATTACAGATGTGATGGTAACATAGATGCTTGGACGAAATGTTGCTATACAACAAAAGAACCTGACAAAGAGGTAATAAGAATTCCCGAAACTCTTAAAGGTTATCCAATGTTTAAAGAATTTAACAGCGTAATTACTCAACGCCTTTTTTTGAATGAACCGTCATCATTAGCTGATAAACCTCTTGATTCTCATACTTCTTTAAATAAAAAACTCCAGCCACTAAAAAACATCCAATTTTATTTGTATGGTAAACTCAAAACTCCTAAAAAGGAAGTTAAGCGTCGTATTGAACTTATGGGAGGTCTCGTAGTCGGAAAACTTACATATACTACTGCCGCCGTAATAACTACTAAAGAAAAGTTAGGAAAAAAATCCACCATGATTCAGAATATTAAAAGAATGGAAATTGAGGTGATAGAAGAATCTTATCTTGACTTAATTGAGCCTGAAAATGGAACAGTTTTGGATTCTCTTAAACTTATTAAAGATAACAATATTGCTAATTGGGGATCAGATCCAATAAAAAGAGTTCCTCAAGATATTATTGAAGGGAAAAATGTCCTCAAATCAGGTAGCATGTACCGTACTTCTGCATCAAAACAAAAAGTAAAAATTATGGACGGTATGGAAGTTGATTCTCGAACTGGTTTAGAAGAGAAAGCCAATATTTATAAAGATACTGAAAGCACTTTTTCCGTTGTTTTAAGTAATTCGGATTCAGTTGTATATTCAGTATAATAGAAATTCATATTATAAGATACAATTGCTAAAAGCTAAGGATAAAGATATTTATTGGGTGTTTCGTGCATGGGGAAGAACAGGGACATTAAGAGGTGGCAAAAAACTTAAACTGTTTGCAAATATTGATGACGCGAAGAAAGAATTTATTTCAGTTTATAACAAAAAAACGCAAAATCTTTGGGGTTCTCAAAAATTTGAAAAAAAGTCGGGTGCTTACATTCCCATCAAAATTGATTACGGGGATTTTAGACAATCGTCCATTCAAATAAATACTAATTCAAGCCTACCGAATTCTGTGCAGTTACTAATATTAAAAATATTTGACACTGAAGTCATGAACAAAGTGCTCTTTGAATTTGAACTTGATGTTGAAAAAATGCCGTTAGGTAAATTGTCAAAATCTCAAATTAAATCTGGATACATTGTGCTATCAGAATTACTCCAGGAATTTGATAAAGATAGAGTAGACGAGAAAAAAATAAAAGCAGCTACGAATAAATTTTATACTTTAGTGCCACATAACTTTGGAACTAATAAGCCTAAATTATTAGATAATCCTGATATTATTAAAAAAAAGATAGAAATGTTAGACAGTCTACTAGAAATTGAAATCACATACAAATTATTGGTAGCACCTTCAGAAGACTCTTTAAGTTCGATTGATTCTTATTATCTTAAACTGAAAGCAGAAATTACACCATTAGACAAAATATCAGCTGATTTTGAGCTTATTGCCACGTACATGAAGAATACCCATGCTCCCACGCATACCTCTTATGTTGTCGAAATAGAAGAGCTTTTCAAAGTTGTTCGTGATGGTGAAGATGAACATTATAAAAAATTCAAACAACTTCGTAATAAGCGTCTACTTTGGCATGGATCTCGAATCACAAATTTTGCTGGAATACTTTCTCAGGGTCTTCGTATAGCACCTCCGGAAGCACCGGCAACAGGGTACATGTTTGGAAAAGGTGTGTACTTTGCAGATATGTTTTCGAAGTCTCCCAATTACTGCTTTGCAAATAAAAACAATCCTACTGGTTTTGTTTTAGTATGTGAAGTGGCTCTTGGAGAAATGAAAAAATGCTATAGAGCACAATATATAAGTGAGCTTCCAGCCGGAAAACATTCAGTGTGGGGTGTAGGTCAAACTCAACCTGATCCCGCACAAAACAGAGTTTTAGATGACGGTATTGTTGTACCCCTGGGCACACCAATTAGTAAAAAAGTTCGCAGTTCTCTCCTCTACAATGAGTTTATTGTTTATGACGTCTCACAAATTAACGTAAAATACTTAGTACAATTGAATTTCAAATTTAAGTAAAAAGTTAAAATGGTAAATGATATTTTTTTAAATTTTGTTAGTTTTAAATTAGTTTTACATATTGAGAAATTATTTTATTAACATAATAACAGTTAACTGAACTTGGCATATAATAAACGAAATAATTTTATGTATAGTAAAAGGTAAAATATATATTTTTTTAAAAGTCGTGTGGTAGGAGCGTTTATTAGTAATTTATTTGTGATTTTGGGTATCTCATTTTTGAGGATAGATGTAGATGTCTATGGAAGACTTATGTGTTCTTTTTCTCTTATTGTTATTGGTTTTGAAAATTTTCTTTTGATAGAATTTTTCTTAATTTAATGTTAATCATATTTAAAGTAATAGATAAGTAATGCATGCTTTAGAATCGCACTTCGATACTGCGAATTATATCAAAAATTAAATTATAGGCGGTTGTCACTAACCATCAGGTGAGCCACACGCTCGTATCATATAAAGAAATAAAAAATTTTAGAGGCAAATAGCTGGTTTTTGTTAGGTAATACTATAAGTTTTAATTATTTTTAATGTAGATATTTTAAAACGGTACCTCTGTATTGAAATCTAAAGCGAATAAAAACAAAGTAAATTCATTGACTTGCTTTTGTAATGACGAGTCGCATAGTGGCGGCGTAAGGAAAGCTGCAGTGTCATTCTTACGACCCTCTTGGGACAAAGAAAAACTGAAACAGAAGATGGGCTGCAGCGTTTTCCTTATAAGAGCTTAGATAATAAAATTTCTGCGGTTGCTAACCGCAACTATAGCAAATAGTTTATGGCCAAAGGCCTAAGTCTCGACGATATTAAGCTTCACCGCCTAAATAAATTTAGCACTTAAAATTAGAAGAAAGAAAGAAAGAAAGAAAATAACTTTATTCGTTGCTACGCTAATACAAACACATAAAAAAAACAAACAATTAACTCAACACAAAAAATAAACAATTAATAGTAAAAAAGTATTTATAAAAAGTATTTAAATTTATGTTGGATTGCAGCAACGAAAAGGACCCGACTCAGCATTATGCTACAGCAAAGAGCCGCAGCGCTGTTATTCTGTCGGGACCACTGATCTAAAACATACGAGCAGCTGTCAGACAGATTTAATGCAAAAAAAAACTAAAGATATTTTAAATGTATATGTTTATGTAATATAATATAAAGATAATATTCTGAAAAACGATAAATAATGAAAAATAAATAGATAAATATATTACTTTTAACTATGTTGGCAATAGTATATAATAGAATAATGAAAGGAATAATAATAATAAATTAAAAATATTTATACTATGTTATAGAGCTAATTCCTGGACAATGGTGTACATCATTGACCAATATGCGATTTTGTGTATTAAGTGTCTGCGCATGTGAACTATTAGTGGAAGCTGTGAAACAAGTGCTCTGATGGAGATGGATTCTCAAGATAAGCTGTTTGCATAGGCATCTTTGGATACCATCGCCAATTGTCTGCTGCCTGCTGGCTCAAGTTGCCATCAGAATCTCCCAAGGGCTGCACCATGTGACGCATCAACATGTTTTGAAGCAGTGAATTACGAAGGATAATTATACACAAAGACAAGGCTGTATGGCATAGTTCCTTTGCCTGCTCTCACGAGCGAATAACAAAAACAACAACAACAACTGCTTGTACATGTCATCTACAAAGAGAATAAGTCACTACGGTCATCTATTTCAATTTCAATTATAATATAATAGAAATTGAATTTCATTACGTACTTTATTCTTTAGAACATAGGAAACCATCAAAAATTAAAGTAAAATAAAATAAAATAAAATAAAATAAAAGTAAAATAAAATAATTACAATTAATAACTGCAAAAATGCCGGCGGGAATCGAACTCTTTTTTAAATACTGCATTTTTTGCGAGTTAAAAAGACAATTTTATCAGACGCTTAACTTTATAAAACACTTTTGAGATATTTTCGTAATTGTTTTTTTTTTCGAGTATATTGTTATTTGTTATAGTGAAAATATATTAATTAAAAGTAAAGTATACATATATATACACAATATGAATTCCTTATCGTTAAACGTGTTAAGATTTAAAAACAATGTAAGAAATAATTTTTATCCCACACTATTCTATACAAAAAAGACATGGGTCTTGATGTATTCCGAGTCAGTCACGAATTGTACGAATGATTTATCTAAAACGAGAGGTAGAGTGGCCCGAGATAAGACGTGACAAATCAGGGTCTGAACCTACGAGGCATTTCTATTTACAATTCTATAGAGTTGACGACTTACAAGTGCAATTCTGTTTAACATTGCCTTTAGATATACATAATATGTGAAAAAGGATTCTATATAAGTAAGTAAGAATCAAACACTGTGATGTTTTTTTTATTAAATCATATTTTTTTAAATCTCAACTTTGAACACAGGGTTTCACCGATTATTACGGCAATTACGTACAGCAAAAGAGTGTAAAATTTTTAAAGTCAAGACTGAATAGGATCTTGATAAGCTAAGTTAGGACGCTTTGCAATTTTCCGCTGCAACAGCACTTACTATCAGGTGGAGCAGTAGTCAAGCAAATAATTAAAAAATTACAAGGCATCAAAAATTTTTACGGTATCTAAATCACAAATATCACCATCGAGCACGTGGTAAGTGGGCGCTTCAAATTGTTATTTTTAATTTCATCGACGAGGATTAATCTCTGTTGAATATTTTTTTATATAATAAGAATGACAAAGGAACACACCGACTATCCGATGACAAATGAATGTTGCGGCCCACAAACGACCACATTTATCTCCAATAAATAAATAAATTAGTATACATTGTCACCCATGAAGACTAATGCCTCGTTTCCAGTAACATAACAGCATTAAAGCAGAGACAAAGTGGTCTCGCGTACGAAACGTACGCAACATCGACCGCATTATGACATCTGGACCCTTTGTATGAAAAACTATATACTCTTATTAGACTTATCGTATGCAACGCAATCATACGCGTCCTAGGCTCAATGATCTTAATAGTACCTCCCAAAGGATAGGTCTTAAGATGAACATGGACAAAACAAAGATCATGTTTAATGTCCATGTCACACTTATGCCAGTAGTTGTTGGAAGCACTAAGCTCGAAGTTGTTGACGAGTACGTTTACCTGGGACAAATAGTCCGACTAGGTAAGTCCAACATCGACCGAGAGGTCAATCGACGGATTCAATTCGGCAGGGTTGCATTCGGGAAATTACGATACATCTTCTCGTCAGGTATACCTCAAAATCTAAAAACTAGATTTTACAACCAGTGTGTGTTGTCAGTGATGACTATGGAACTGAGACGTGGTACTTCACTGCTGGCCATATGAGGACGCTCAAGGTCGCTCAGCAAGATATGGAGAGTTCTATGCTCGGGGTTCCTCTGCGTGATAGACTCAGAAATGAGGATATTCCGCAGTAAAACCAGAGTGACCGACATAGCCCAACGGATTAGTAAGCTGAAGTGGCAATGGGCCGGCCATATAGCTCGAAGAACCGATAACCGATGGGGAAGAAAGGTTCTCGAGTGGGAGCCTCGTACCGGTAGGCATAGTGTAGGGCGACCCCCCACTAGATGGAGTGACGACCTGGTAAGACCTATACTGGTATAGACCTGGTAAGTGATATTCTCGGTCGAAGTTGGACTTACCTAGTCGGACTATTTTTCCCAGCTCAACAACTTCGAACATAGTGCTCCTCACAACTACCGGCATAGGTGTGACATGGACATTGAACATAATCTTTGTTTTGTCCATGTTCATCTTAAGACCTATCCGTTGGGAGACACCATTGAGGTCATTGAGCATAGTGCTACGGTCCTCCAGCGATTCTGCCATAGGGACTATATCGTCGGCAAATCGAAGGTGAGTGATGTACTCGCCATTGATGTTAATACCGTATCCTTTCAAGTCCAGTAGCTTGAAAACGTCTTCCAACGCAGCGGTGAAGAGTTTCGGGGATATAACTTCACCCTGTCTTACACCTCTCTGCAGTTGGATAGGTTTCGAACTCTGGTTCTGTACTCGGATAGCCATCGTAGCCCTACTGTACAAACACTTTGGCACTTCGATATACTGACAGTGAACTTGGCAGCGCTGAAGGGACTGTAGCACCGCCCAAATTTCGACGGAATCAAAGGCTTTCTCATAGTCCACATACGCCAGGCAAAGTGGCAGATTGTACTCTTCGGTTTTCTGTACAATCTGCCGCAGGGTATGTATGTGGTCTATGGTACTGAAGCCTTTTCGGAAACCGGCTTGTTTAGGAGACTAGAAGTCGTCGAGTCTGCGTGCGAGACAATTCGTAATGACTCTCGAAAACAGCACGTAGACGCGGCTCAGAAGGGAAATCGGTCTGTAGTTCTTCAAGAGAGCGTTGTCGCCTTTCTTAAAGGACAAGACCACCGCACTTCTGCTCCACGCCTCCGGAGTAGTGCCACCATGGAGGACGGAATTGAAGAGCTTCCACCAGCTTTCAGAAGCTCCGCTGTAATTCCATTCTCGCCTGGGGCCCTGCCGTTTTTAAGGTGCTGGAGAGCCATCCTAATCTAGCTCAGACTGACGTCCGGGATATCATCGGAATAGTGTCGGGTAAGACTTGCTCTTGTATCGTTACTCACACTTGCGTGTGGCTCCAACGATGATGTGTACAGCTGCCCATAGAACCTCTCAATCTCACTCAAAATCTCAGGTGTCCCGGAAACGATGCTGCCACACTCAGTCTTCAGCTTTGACAGTTGGCTCTTTCTGGCAGACAGATCTCTGGCAAAGACTTTGGAGCCCTGGTTCCGCTCGATCGCTTCTTTAATACGAGCAGTATTAAAGTTGCGTAAGTCTTGCCGCATGCATTTGGAGATCTGTCTGTTCAGTTGCCTATATGCTGTCAAATCTGTTGACGATTGCAGCCTCATCTCCCGTCTAACAGCCATGAGATTAAGAGTGTGATCGGAGAGTTTTTGTGTTCTTCTGCGGCTGCAGAACTTGA